GATAGGGGGCCGATTATATCATGCATCCCTAGTTCATAAATTTTGCAATATTCAGCAATTTTACGAACAGAATGGAAACATGTATCTGCACTGTTTTTTGTGTCAAGATACGAAAGACTGATCATGAAAAATTAGCCCAAAATTTAACAAAGCTTTTACCTCAGGGGGCTGATTTAAAATACTATATATTACCCATCCAAATAGCTGGAATCAAGTGTTCCAATCATTTTCATTTTCATGGTCACAGGTGTATAAAATCAAGCACCTAGGCATGCAGAGTGTTGCTGCAAACATTTTAGAATGAATAGGTTGCTCTTAGGTGGTCATTGAATTCCAGTGTGAGACTGTGACATGATGCCGCCTTTGGAACATATCTATTTGTTAAATGTCGTCACTCCTAAATATTCCACAGTCAACTGTTGGCAGTAACATCAGAAAATGTTTGGGAGCAACGGTAACTCAGCCAGGAAGTGGTAGGCCCCTTAAACTGCTGGAGTGAGGTCAGAGGATGCTGAAGCACAGAGTCCAAAAAGATAGTAAACAATCTTCGGTGTGATTTTGAACAACGTCCCAAACTTTATGGGAACAGTTTGAATCTGGCCCCTTCCTCTGCCAACATGGCTGTGCACCAGAGCACAAAGCAAGGTCCATAAAGGCATGAGCTCTGTCTGAAGCTCCGCCCTAACCCATAAACCCATCAATCACTATATAGAGCGGGGACTATATAGTGGAATTTATAGTGAACTCAGTTAACCTATCGTTCTGACAGATGATCACTGCTTTTCGCACCCTATTGGTCACATGGCTCCACCTCCCCTCGAGCTACCTGCGCCATCTTTGTTATTAGTCGGCAAATCCCATAATGCTTTGTGAGACAAGCTCTCGAAAAGCAAACTGGGATATATCTGCACGTCTGTTAACCAATCCATGATCACTACTTTTCAAGGTGCATTTTGGGAAATGTCAAGTCCTCTGCTTTTTTCATTCACTAGACCAGCGGTAGCTAATTAAAAATCAGCGGTATCAGAATAAAGAAAATTAACACCATTAAAGGTCCGGAGACATTTTTAATTTAAAATGTTACTTTAAACAGAATTTAACACTGAAATAAAATGAGCTGTTTATGTATCCTTATTATACATTGACTTTATTACATAAAATCCAGGTTTTGACTAAAGCAGCAGCATTTAACTTAAAGGGAAATGCACTGAGACAAAGCACCTCTGGATAAATATCTGGTATCTGAACTCTCTACTTGTTTTTGCCCTTGAGAGCTGGAGTGTTGGTTCTGAACAGACAAGTGTTTGGAGCACCAACCTCTGCTTAGTGTAGAGGAACAGGGAGAAGATGTTGATGGGGGCTATCTGAGTTTAACATGTTCTAATCTCCTCTCATGTTGGTGTGAAGTGGATCTGATAAAGTGTTTCCAGTAGGGGAGGTTTCACTGTTTAAGATGTAGAGTTGTCAGTTTACACATAGAGATTTTTTCTACAGTATTTATGATGTTTTCTATGGAAGAGGATTAGGGCCACTGAAAAAAAAAGTTTACTGATTTTAAAATTTTATTTCAATTTAGTATGGGGGAAAAAGTCAGAATTCTGACTTTTTTCTCAGAGTTCTGACTTTAATCTCAGAATTCTAACTTTTTTTCTCAGAATTCTGACTTTTTTCTCAGAATTTTGACTTTAATTTTAGAATTTTGGATTTTAATGTAGATGGGCACCATGAAGGAAGAGATGTGGGAGCCCTCAGCTTCACTGACAAAGATGTGAGTTGTTTGAG